TAAATTAAGATTAAAAATAAATTTTAATTCTTCGCGATTAAAAAACAATTTATTCCATTGTGGTATATTCATAATTATTTCAATGCAAACATTCGTCCGTTACAGACCGCGTATTTTAGGTACATGTTATTAAATTGCAACTACGTTATCTATTATAGTATGGTATAAGAAGCAATATTGTTTGCAATGTTGAAGACTATCGATTTTACGTTGTTATGTGTTTTATTTTTATTGCACACGTGCTTGTTATTCCCATTATAATATAATATAATATATATACATATGTATTCAAATATTTTGTAAATGTATGAGATTATAGTAATCGAGAAGTAAAATGATTTATTTATACGAAAAAATGTACAATATTTTTATATTATAAGAATTTTATTATTTGTGCCCCATCTTTCCAACGAGAAATGATACCGTATGCACATACTATTATGATTTATGTATATTTAAAAGATTTATACGGCCGAATTGATTAATAGTTTGTTTTTCTTTCGATAAACATTTAGAATGATAATAAAATAAAAAACAAACCACTCCTCTCACCATTTCGAGTTGAATGCGTATCATTTTTTATGTATGCCAAGTACACAATGTAGCCCACAGGGATTCTAGGAACAGTTATGTCTACAAAAACGGTTGTACTCCGCGTCGTTTACGTATATACACGGTGCACGTATTATAATAGGCGTGCTCGTAAATTAATTAAATAATAAAAATGTTTATTTATTACGCGGTGTGTCCAATTTATTGTATAAATAATCAAAATTTATTACCTGAACATTTATACACGACAATCCACCGGTGTTTCGTAACGAAAGCGAAAAAGTTTCACTATACCTATTTTGCCGCGTAAATGTATTGTTCATAGTCATCGCCTTTTGCGCTCGTCCTCAGACAATTATTGAACACTGTTAATGCAGTATGCAAATACAGGGAGTAGAATAAAGCGAATATAATAACATTATGTTGTGAGAATGGGTGTACTTTAACATCGAATTGTCGTTTGGATTACGTCCACGTGTTATTATTGCCGTGAAAGACAGATGCAGATGATATTAATGTTTATTGAGAGAATGCTAATGAAGGGTTTGAATTAATCATTATTCTGGACCCGTAACATTTTCGTGTTGATGATATTTTTAATTAAATTACACTGTTCGTTAAATATCAAAGCACAATAAGTATCAAGGACAAACAATAATATTTGAGCAGTACATTTATAAAATGCGTATTAGTCAAGTACCAAAAACATAGAAAAAGTCACGAAATTATAATTTTTTTTTCCTCGTGAAATCATATACACAATCTTTGTACATGATACAATTAGAATATTATCTAAAAGTAACAAGATATGAAGAAAAAAACAATTTACTTGAAGAAAGGAGCCTCCTTTCGTATAGATAGCACTTTCATTTATAAAAATATAATTTTGTTAAAGGAGATCAAGGAGATCACGACACCACTTGCGCTTCAAGCGTCTGGGTAGATTACCAGGTATCGTCAAAAAGATAATTAAAAAGGAAAATTCATACCATTTTACGTTGTAAGAAAAATAAAAAGTTTTGTTGTTTATCAGCTAAACTAATTTTTCATTTTTTAAAATGTTCGAATTTTCGATAAATAATGAATACGCTAAGAACATAATATATATATTATAAAGGTTTATTTCATAATATCTACCAGGAATCCAAAGCATTTCTCTTATTGCTTATTTTGCATATTTAATTTTTTTTTACGTATTTTTATTTTATTTTACATTCGAATTTTAAGTGCAATTTCTCATTTATTTTTAAATTAGGTTAGGTTAGGAAAATTGGATGAAGTTGGTGTGTGCTATCTGTGCGATAATTCTGCACGAGAGAGGGTTTGGGGGTTTTAGAGGTTCAACCTTCCTCTCCATCCAAATTCAGAAAAATTATTAAATATTTTTTTTTCAGACTAAAAGTAGTTTTTAGATTATATAAGATTGAAAATATATAACCTAAAACTCCTCCCAAAATACTTTTTTGTGTACGCGTTTGTTTGTGATGTACGGGCGACCTACAGAGCAGTGAATAATACAATTATCCAGTAGAGCTTAGTTCCAAGTCGCGGAGCAAATCATAAAAAACATGATTTCCTTAAACGAGGGAATGTCATCAATTTTTATAAAAAATAAATACATAAATAAGTAGATCATAAAAAATAACATTACTACAAACTAAATTTGAATTATATAGAACAATAATAAACAAAACATGAAATGATAAATATATAAATAAAAAAATACGATTTACGTCAAACGTCTATTAAAAAAAAGTATAAAAAGTTCTGCAACTTTCGTAAAATTATGTACTCACTTACTTTATATTATATTACATTATAAACCGTATAATACATCAATAAACATACACCACCGTAATACACGTGCAAGGCCATAGCCAAAAAAATATTTCTAGGGTGAGGGGTTTAGAGTGAAAATATTTTTTTTGATTAGCAATTTTTAAAATTTCAAATGCAAACTGGAGTATAAAATCGTTCAAGTTTATTTCAAGAAAAAATTTTGGGGGGGGGTAAGGTCTGAACCCTAATCCTCCCTAGCTACGGCCTTGTACACGTGTAGATCTAACGATGCGTTAACTTAGTTAACTTATATGTTTCGTTAAGATTTTTCGCAAAGTAAATGTATTACCATTTCCAGGAAACATAACTTAAAAAATGCACATTTATTTCCTTGACGATAAATACTTGTTGTTTCATAGAATTCAATGACATTTGTTTCTTCGGTAAACCACACTTAAGTATAACGCCGATATTGCAACCCATCCGTAATTGCAATACTTAGAGGGTCTTAGACGTATTTTAATTTTAAACTGCAACAAACATTCCGCGGCGAATACAGTTGTATGAGTTGGTATAACCGTGTATAAGAAAAATACTAGTTGAAATTATGGCCCTAGTGCTAGGCACCACGAAATACTACGGTGATAATATGAAATCTTATAACATTACCGCAATAAGGTATGATTTATTATATTTATCATGTGATTGCAACGTGTTTAATTTATTTGAACTCGTTACCAAATTAGAATATTTTGTAAACGATATTGACGTTGTTGATTTCATTATTAAACATAAAATAATATTGTTATAACATGTATAATTATAATATATAATTGTAAAATAATTAATAATAATATATAATTATATATTATATAATCATATAATTGTCATTATTATGACCAGAGCTCGAGACTTATAGCACTAATAAATCTGAAATATGCGCTATTATATGCACCGAAAAAATGTAAAATATGCGCTATAATATGCACTAAAAATATGAAAATAAGCTTTAAAAATAATTTATTTAACATTTTTATTTAGACATTTATGAATTTATAATTATTAAAATTTAAAGAAAAATTTTTATATAATTTTACAGTTATAATTTTCTACAAATAATGACTAAAAAATCTTTCCTGTTCTCATTAATTTGTATGTGTCGAATTATGCCAATCTGTAAAATATAATTATTTCAAATTAATAAATCATTAAAAAGTAACTTACAGTTTGTACCTTCATAATTGCACTGTATTATTATGTGTTTCCGAATATTTTCAAACTTGAAAGATCTGTTATTGCTAAATAATGTTTTGTACAACAACAACATTAAGATAAAAGATACGATAAACACAATATTAACTTGCATTGGGATATTTTAGGAATATTTTTTTCAATCGACAATTTGTTTTATAACGTCCCAAAACTGTTGATCACTGATGAGTGATCGAAATATGTATTTTTGCTGGACTGAGTTTTCGATTTTTACATTAATTAGCAATAAATAGCAAAACCTCTAGAATATGCAAAAATATGCACTAAAAACTTTTAGTATTGAGTTCATTTTTGTCTAAAATGGATTTATTACTTACTCTGCTATCTTTTTATAAACTACAAAAAAAATATGCAAATGCTACAAGTCTCGAGCCCTGATTATGACTATTGTTGTTGAAGTCCGTGTTGTGTGAAATGGAGTAAAGTCTATCGAAAAAAAATATATATCTATTTCGGTTTTTAGTTTGTACGTTTATTTTGTAATATTTCTACCGGATTTCGACTAATTCACTCCCGTGAAAGAACTAAGACCACTTCCTAGAAAGTATTTCATGAAACAGAAAGCGTTCAGACTCTCTACGACGTATAGAGGTAATTCGTACGATTCTCAATTTACAAGAGTGCTGTGTGTAACTTTTCTATTTCTTTGGATACCGTCCCGAAAAAAAATGTTCAAAAATACACACATAAAAATCTTTGTGAAATCCATACAGCGTCCCGTATCCTTGTAGCCAGTTCGTTTATTCGTCGAAAGTTAAAAAAAAACACACACACACACACACCCAAAATAAAAGCTTGTCTAGACAGAAATTTAAATAATAATAATGCAAATAAAAAAATTGTCTCCAACCGTAAACGTATTTTCGAAACGAATTATAAACAATATTATTATTGTTCGTTCTCCGGGGAGGAAAAAGTCATTTCTTATTCGAATAAATTTAAATTAAATAAAGTTACGGTCGGACACTAATGGGCTGCGCCAATAGTGTTGTGTCGACGGGCGTTTCGGTATAATATTACAATAAAAACTATACGCGTGCATTACACCGTTCGCTATTTATAAATACGTTCGTTCGTATCGGTATCGCAATACGTAAAAGCTTTTATTCATTAATCACGTTCAAGTATTAAAACGAGAAAATGCACGTGTACAACTCGGACGGATAGTGGGGGAGGAAAACCGCAACATATGCATATATATTTATACGTTTACACGTCGTACGGGTTGTGTTGGGACACAAATAAGTGTGCGTACAATATGCAAATAAGTTTTGATAAAATGTAACGGTTTATCGACACATTTGTTATGTTGGAAATCATGTGTAAATGTATAGTGACGCGTAACACGAAAATACCTGTATATCTGAACATCGTGCATTTTTTTTTTGTTGTTGCAGGTGGCCACATGGACGTAACTGCTCGTCGGTAAATGGGAACGTACAATCGATTGTGACGTCGCCGGGAAGACTTGGTGAAAAGGGTAGGCAAAATACTTTTATCGCCAAACCAACCATCATATTAGGTACTATCACCGTTGCGGCCGTTGACAAAAATAATATTATGTTTACATGCATTTTTTTCTTTTCCCCCTTTTTTTCGTTTTGTCGTTGTACGCGTTACGTGTCAGGTGTGTATCACGTAGTGTTATAAAATATCCATTGGGCAAAAAGCCTCGTGGAGATGTTCGGTAGAACCAATTTTGTGTTATTGACTTTAATTTTCGAGTAAACTGATGTACCTATCAAACTTAGTGGGGAAGGGCACGTTATCCATACGTCTTCTAGTACATTTCTCTACGACGTTTTTATATTTTATAGGTGTTTAAATGATTAAATTAAATAAATTAGTAGAACATTTATTTAGTTTTTTTTTGCCGTGAGATTAAATGATTCAATTAAACAAAAAAATGCACTGAAAGTAAATATAACAATAAATATATTCCAAGTACCTAAATATAATTATCATCCGGAGAGATTGGATGGAAATACATGAAAAAAGTGCTGAGCAAAAGCATACACTATAGGCGTTGATAATATTTTATAGAATTGATTTTAAAACTAATACTGTACCGTGTACTCCTTATTATATCAATAACTATATAACGATAGCGATATAACCGTATAAATTACTTAACAGCAATTTGGGAAAATCATTCTACATTTATACCTGTCTAATAATATTTTTATTGTGCTTAAATTATTGCATCTATTATACGTTTACTATATTAATTATATACATATAAAGTATTCATTTAATCATATTTATGAATAGTTAATACTTGACAATTTTTTATGCTTCTATTTTGATCTTGTTTATTGTTTACTTAGAAACAATTTTTTTTACATTTTTCGACTATTTTTTTATTATTTTATTTGATTTGTGGGTTTATATGGTTTATGGTTTTATTGTACTCGTGGTGGTAAATAAATTATTGTATTAATAATAATATAATGAAATTATGGATGTTAGTTATTCTTAAAGTTAAAGTATAGAACAAGTTACATTGTGCGTTATAACTAATGATAATTCTTGTAGAATAGTAGAATAATAAGTTTACTTTCAGGCGATAACAATTTTGATTATATTAAGTATCTATTTTTGTTCTAACAATACTTACAACACAACGGAAACGTCTTCATTGTAATGCACACCATGTTAAAAATAATTTTTAAAAAAATATTATTTTTATCGATATATTACTTTCATGAAACACATACTCAATATTGTATTACATTTATGGTTTATTCGATGTATTGTATTTGTTTGACACGAGCTAAAACACTTTATTTGAATTTATCAGATTAATAAATATTTGATTGATTGGAAACATATTTTATTAAAAAAAATAAAAATAATTCCATAATGGTCGTGTTAATAAAACAATATTCTAATTCATGAAATAAAAAACTGCTGTAAAAAAAATTGTGATAAATACAATTTGTATTTTTTAATTTTAAGATTATAAGACAGTCCGTAGTCCAATTAATACGTGTGATCTACGTATGTACTTGTTCATCTTCGTATCATATTCATTGTGTGTTTATAAGTATTTGTTTATAAGTGTTAGTAGGTGTTCGATATAGGCTGCGATATATAAATATACAATTATATTATGTGTAAAAATTACAACTGTACATGATATTGTACCTATCGTTTTATAGTGATTGTATAATGAAGTACGAGTACATACATCGGTAAATAATAATAATAATTAATAAAAATATTAGGTGAAAACGTACTAAAGGAAAATGATACGAAAAAATTAACGGCGGGGGACTTCGTCAAAAAATATTTAAAGCTATTAAAAACATTATTATGATTATTATTATTACCATTTTTTTCGGTTTCAAATAGTGTGTTTCCGATGAAAAATATTGTTTTTACACCTCTGAAGTTCATTTACTGGGTCGCCGTTGTTTAATTAAAACCTTGGTGAAAAAATTATGATTATCATCTTGGCCTTTTAGAGTCCACTAAAATATTATGAAATATATACGTTTAATAGTTCTTATAAACTTTAACGTTTTGCAAAACTTATCGGTATAATATAAAACAATGCAAGAAATAACTTGATTACTTCATTTATTATTTTGGTTTTAGTATTTACTTTTATTAAGATACCTATTGCAATTATATTTTTGGTTAAAAATAACTTTATATATGTATAATAATACAAATAATTAACACAACGTATTAAACAGACGGAAACGATTTAATTATTTTCCTAATATTATTGTATTTCATGTTTGGTAAACACAAATCAAAAAAAATTGTTACAAAATATTTGAATGTAAGTTTATATGAAAACGTACAGCTATAAAATATAATCATATATCTAACATCAGTATAAAAATTATTCCGTAATGCAAGCCTGGAGTTCGTTTGGATTTTTTTTACAATTCCGACATTTTAGTTATACGACTAAATATGTTATTTTATTTTTTTTTACTAGAGTACTACATTTTTTACTACATCAAATTAAAATTATTTACATCATGATGGTCATAAAAAAAATTTATTATTTTTCCTTCGCAAATATTTCCCACCGTGTCACTTGTACTATTTATTAGCTAGGTGCGTTTTCATAAAATTGTTGGTTCAAAGTGGTACAATTTAATTTTCCATTTATCGTTTATCGACATTAGAAACACATTTTAATACGTATACAATGCAGCGTCTATTTTAGCTGTGCTCGTAACGACTTTGCATTCCCGGTGATAAGATTAATTTTGTACATGTTCATTTTACACGTTACGTATACAGATTCAACATACTTCGTTCTCGCGCACAGAGCCAAAACGATCGACCGAAATGTTTCCTTTTTCCAAAGTTGTTACAATATACGAACGTACAATATTCGGTGCTTTTATGTTACAAACTAAAAGTAACCATACGATTTTTCAGGGGTTTTGTTCAATACTTATATCACACAAGTTACAGATATATTTAGTAAAATTTATTTTTATCCAATATATTATCCATGTTTTAAGTTATTTATGTAGGAAATCGTTCTTGTAGACTTCAGAATGTGACTTTCTTTCGGTATTTCTATTTGAAGCGAGTTTTTAGTAATAATTTTGAACGGTCTGTTTTCATTCTTAAAAATCGATAAATTGTTTTTCTAAATGAAACGAAATTCATATTTCATACAATTTCGACTGTCAATGTTTAAACGATAAAAACCAATAATATAGGAGACGAACACATCTGTATATTAACAATTGCAGCCGTACGCTTGGCGAGTTTAAAACTCGGTTCCAATGTCGAAAACCAGTAATATCGTATACACAGATAAAAATACGCGTGTCAAGCCACAACAATCATATGAAATACGCTGTTTCCGTTGTACATGAAACAATTATTGCATTTACTTCTATCGGAATTATGAAATTCCATAACTTGGATTTTTCCGGTCTTGAAATCGCATACAATAACGCAGAGTTTTTCCCGGACTCGAACAGAGAATTGAAATAATTGTTATGAGCGCATGAAATATGGACGAAATCGGGAAAGCTTTAACGAAATGTGAGGGGAAAAAAATATAGTCTCGAGAAAACGGTACGCTCAACACTCGGATTTCGAGGCGAATTTTCGTGAATATACAACAGGTACCTAACTAATAATAACATGATAACCTTTGTACAACTGATAAACTGATACGTAAACAATAATCGATAGGTCAATGTGCACGTACAAACTACTGAAGGCAACACGATACGTTTGTCGTCTTTATGAAGCTATCTTTTAAAATCCGGTCTCCTATTATATTATTATTGTTTAGACAGCAATAACTAAGAATCACGTGTTATACACTTGGTCGCAGGTAATGGAAGCGGTCTGGAAATGTATTCGCGGACGGCGTAAACCATCGTAATGCAATATGACGTCTTGTTTTTTGACTGAATAATACATTATCGTACTATGTTGATAAATTCCCAAATATTGTAGCGAAAAAATATCAAAAATTAACCGACCGAAAATAATGAGTAGTGCTCCCTCGTGTAATAGATGATCGCCGTTGTGTTATTTTTATGTCGTTCTCGGACGTTTATTACAAAATCGTAACGCCTAAATAATTGGACAGTACAAACAATAATAATATATATTATTATCGTATCCAGATATTTCCTTGTTATGTTGAAGTAAAAAAATGAAACACACTCAACAAGCGAACAGTTTTTATTATTTCTCTGACAAATATATTTCTGATGGCGAACGAGGATGATGAATCAATTTAATTTTCCGTCCGCACGGCGTCGTTTATATTCGTACGTAATTAAATATTGTCCCAGTCGGTTTACTTTGAGACTCAGTATCTTATGATAACGTAAAACGATAAAACCTGCAGCATAACGTGGTCCTGGATGTATTGCGATTCAAAATTGTTCTACGAAATAATTCGATGGTATATGTTTATATAATATATTATATTATAACTACGTTTGGCGCGAGGTAAGAATGTAATGTATAGAAGAAAGTTTTGGAAAAGTTTTCCCTGTTTTTTTTTTTTTGTAGTTGTTATAAAAACATCTCGTGTACGCGAGAGAAGTTATTAGTCTCGTTTAAAACGTGTACACCTGTACTCCGGTGGCATCCCGCACGCACAAAAACATCTCATCGTTGTCGCTGGAACGGGGAGAGGCGAAGAAGATTAAAACATCGTATGTATTCCGCGAGAACACGATTTTCTACTCACGACGGTGATTTTCTACAGTTCGCAGACCGTCGATTTACGCGCGTTTGTTTAGTCCCGTCGATATCGGCCGACGATAGTGCTCGACGACACGCGTTCAAAATAGACGTCTAGACATTTGATCGTTTCTCCGCCATCACCATGACATTTGGTGGAATAAGATTTTTCGCATCGTGACTTCTAAGCGCGTCGCGAGGCATGGCTTTCGATGAAAAAAAAAATTATTGACAACGGTCGGCTCAACAATCGGTATTGAACAAATTACTTGTGTGTATTTATATATTTTCCGCCACCGTGATTATAACCAGTGACGAAGCGTCATAGAAGACAATGAGACAATGTCTACCCACTTTTAATTCGGATACATAATTTGGTTTTATTATATTATTTATTTTATTTATTTTTATATAATAAATACTTCAATATTTATCATAGTTTTTTGTGCCGTACCGTATTAGTAATCTTAAAATAGATTAGTTGCGGACCGTATATATTCAAATACAGATATAAAAATTAATATGAGACGACGCGTTGCAGCGTCTCGTTTTTCAAGGGAATAGGTTATTGAGTGGGGATTATCATTGCGCTATGAGACATGTCTCGCGTTCGTATTTATTATTTCATTTTAATATACATTATTGTAATCGTCATTGCTTTTCGCGTTGATGCGTTATCGTTCAACGCAATTTTGTTATAGCAGTTATTAGTTGGTTTTTATTTTACGATTTATTTATTTCTGGTGTGATATTCGTATCTAAATATAAAAATATTGTACTATTGTTATTCGCCACTATGCCTGATGATTTAATTAATGAAATGTTGAATGATGAAATAGTAAACTACTCATACGAAAAAAAGTATGAAATAAAAAATAAAAGACCGTGTCCCTTTTATCATAAATACATATAAAGTTATATAAAGTTATAAATAGGGGAGGGCTGTAACGTATTATTTTAATGCCTCCCAAACCTAAATACTCGTGTTTCGCCACTGATTATAACGTTTATCGTTCTTAAAAAACGTCTATTATAATTAATTATATATAATTCATCTATTGCGTAATAAACATGTGACCCGTACGTATTTAAAAACAATGCGTAGCTGTTTTCTTGTTAGGATTCTACAGATATCAGAACACCTTTTACGTTCGTTGTAGTCCGTTTGTCCATTGGTCGCTTGCGTGCAGTACGCACTCAATTACGATCGTTAGTATTCATTTTATTAATACTTTTACTGCTGTTGATATTGAAACATATCAAAATCAGAACTTTTAACTTCAGTACCGGTCGATGAAAAAAATTGATGTGCCGAATTATGAACACTTCGTTCACAAACGGACCGTACAAGTTACCCCGAATTCTTTTAAAATTGAACGCCGATTTGTACGGTCAATTGTTTGAAACACGTTCAGTGATCGGAGGAATTCGACACGTCCGCAGATCGGTCCCAACTAGTTTTCGGTAGTCCTCGTTAATATACTCAGCTGAACACGGTAGGTATCGGCGAAATGAATGCGTGCAAGATATTGCAATCAATACCGGTGACAGAGTCGTGCGAGACGAGTGGCGCGCGACCTCGTTCAGACCCACGACCCTTAAATGAATTCCTTTTTTCTAAGAGGTCACCGCCTACGAATAACGTAGCATAGGCGTGAGCGCTGCATGCAATCGTTTCCGTTTTGGCGGTCATATAATATATTTTTTTTGTATTTTTTTTATATAATAATTATCTTATTATTATTATATTATAATCGACGGATCAAAATTTCGCACCGCTGCTAGAGAGCAGAGGGACGTCCAGCACCAATGGTTGTTCGGGAAAAAAGTTTTGATTTCGATGTTGTCGCGCAACGCCGTCGCAGTGTTACGGCGGACACGCGGACCGCGTCGTACACGTGTTGCGAATATCATATCACGTGCGCAGGTGCTCGCAACACGAGACACGGTTTTCGCATGTGTTTTTTAACGATTTTCTTCGCGGAACTCACCCGCGAGTAAAACCGTGCAACCCCCATGGCGCAGATACTGCGCGGCGACAAAGTCGTGCCGATTAAAAATTTACCACGTTCCGCTGCGTTCGGAACGAATAATGAGAGTATAAAAAAAAAAAAAAAAAATAAAGTAATAAAGAAAACATGAAATACGTGTATAATTTACGTATTTTTTTATGCGTACCTCGTACATCACGCCGTGCGTACGGTATCGCGTGTACGTCCTGCTGCAATCGGGCACACGCGTAACAACATTTCCACCGACCGTTTTTCCGACCTAGTGCAACGCATTATAATTTTTTGCCCCCGGAGACACCGTTATTACGTGTGTACGCCGCAATAAACCCGACCACCGCGGCAGTAATCGCCATAATATTTTCTCTCGTTTCGATTAGTTTCGCCCACCTCTAATCTACGAACCTCGGCGCGAAATCAATACCATTCGCGTAACCGGGCGGCGGTGGTTTTTCTTGTTTACTTTTTTAAACCTAGGCGCATATTCTTCTTGTGGTGCGCGCCGGGTCCGTACATAAAAATTTCGTTTCTCCGTTGTTTTCGGTGCGCGAACACATGGCACGTAACATTTTTTTCGTACGAATACCATACACCGAACGAAATGTCGTTTGAGACAGGGGCACGGATTTAGATTTACTTCTAGGGATAGGCGACTCAAATTTTTTCTTTAATTCAGGCTCAAAATTAACAAGTAAAATTTTCGGTAATATTTAAATCAGGTGAATCCTTAATATTTTTTTTTTTTTTTTTTTTCTAATGCCGGATCCACTTAGAATCGACTTTTGTGTAGTTTTTTTTTAACACCTGTCCGTGTTTTGAAAGTTATGTTTCTGTTTTATTTGATTTTTCACTAAGTATGGACCCGACAAAAAGCCCAATTCAGTGTTCACAGCCACGCGTAATTTCATTTCGTTATAAAATGTTCCACATTAAAAACAATTGAAATGTATATCACACATATAATCAATTCCTTAAATACGGATTCAGGAGGGGGTGATCGCCCTTTCGTTCCCCCCTAAAATACGCCAATGGTTTAAGACCAGTGTTTTTTTTTCCATAAATATCCATCAGTGATTGCGAGTCCGCAGGGCGCACTGGAGCCGTACTAACACGTACGCAAATATTTTGCCGGTAAAAAAAAGTACACCGTTACAAAAAAATGATAGATAACACCAAAGTTCGCGCAGTTACGTCAAAACTTGTTTACCGTAGTAATAAAATGTGGTTAAATGTACCCGTGTTCGATATTTGTTTGCAAATTATACACTTACATATTATCGTACCGTTCGTTTTCATATCATACGTATTACCGATCGTTCAAGATTGTATCATACGTATCAGTGGGGAAACGGAAATTGAATGTTCGTTTTCAAAGATCCTAATTACCCGTAAAGCGCATATAATATTGAAAAATCGTAGAGTTTATGTACGCGCCATGCGGTTGTATGTGGACGTATTGATAATATAATCGTACGGGGGAAAAATACCAAAGTCTATTCATTTTAATGAACTTGATGTGTACAGAAATTGTTTTACGAATATTTTATTATGTAATTCCGAAACTAGATACTCGTATGCTCAGAAGATATATTATTTATAAAAAAAAAGTATAATTTATTAGGTACTGTTGGTAATAAAAAATGTACCTTTACCGAGTTATACGTAAAGTTGAATGCATAATAAATTAATTCCACGCAAAATATAGTTTATGGGTTGACTTTCGAATTGAAAATTGACAAATATCACAGTTGGAATACAACAATTATATTACTGGTGTGATGTTAAAAAAAAGTGCATGAAGTTTTACACATTGAATGGTTTAAATCGATTGGTCATTTGTATGATGTTGTTGTCTTTGGTTTAATTTTGTGTTTTGCTTACCAAGCATTTTCAATTGTTCTGGAACGCGTCAATTTAGACAAATCTGAAACCAACTAAAAATCTGCGCATTAATTTATTTTGTGCGCTCCATTATTATTATTATTATTAATATTTCTGACAAATTTCTACAAAATATGTGTCTAAACAATTTTTTTATAACTTTATCCACATACATATATATATTTCATTTTCAAAATTGTTTCCGGCAAAATAACTCTGTAGAGATAATAAATATTGGACACTGCAGTTACTTAAATACTGGTTAGTCTGTCCGGCACATAAGCTATGAAATAAAAATATAAAATATATTATTTCGTGTACACGTTTGCTGCGCTATTTGAATAAAACAAAAAAAGTTTCAAATCCGATACTAAAAATGCACAAGTCGTTCTCAAATGACATCTGCAACGGTATAGTTGGGTTGAATGAATTATAAATTAAACTGAGTTTTTTAAAGTATCATAATATACACGACACAATGTCATGACGTTGTTGGGCAGCAATCTGTCCAGAGATCGATACATTTTAATTAGTTGCCATTTTAATTAACAAGCTTCATATACTTTTAATACTATTTCGTAACAAAACGGTCCTTCCCTTCCCCCTGGAGGTCAATTATAACGCGACCGAAACGACAAACCAAAACTGTTTACCTAATCGATTGGTACCATACAGGCGATACCGAACAAATTTTGAATTCTATCACTAGGCTTCATTTCGATGTATTATTGTATTAATAATAAGAAAAGGGTCTGTTTCAGATGCCATAGAATGGAACGAATATGGAGGCTGCTACAAGCGGCTTCCTTTCTCGTGCCGCTTCTACAAAACGCGTTGTCAGAGAATTCAGACGTGTAAGTAAATGAAATATTATAATAATGACAATAATAAAACAGATGTATCTACTCCTCTGTGTTGGATTGGCTATGGCTTATAAATTAACAATTGAAAACAGAGATAAATTATAATACACTTGGTGATTCGTTTCAATAACTGTACATTTAACGTTTACAAGCGTAATTGTATAATAATTCATGAACGCATTTTACCAAATCAAATTTAATCTAAAACAACTTAAACACAATCTCATCGCCGTAAAGCGATTGCTCCGTCGGAGTTAAAGTTTTAAAATAAATTGAAATAAACCGCTTTAGTAGATGTTAAATTTAGTTTTTATTGTTTAGTCAACTTACTAAAAGTGTCAATCCTAATAAACGCATCATGTAATACCGGCCTGGTTAACCTGTTCGACATCCGTCTCCCACGATCCATTGTTAAACACCCTCATGTCGATTTCATCAATCTTCGTTATCATTACTCTTCGGATTTATGGATGAGTAAGTACGGCTCGACCCCTTCAACGATAAAGATAACTTTTCTTTGACATTTCATTACATTTATTTTTAAGTCGAAAACTAGACGCGATCTTCATCCTAGTTACTCTATATTAAGTTTGATATCAACGAATTTCAAAATACCAATATTTGTTTGCAAAGTCTCAACATTCAAGATATTTGTTTTTGTTTTATCAGTTTTCTACCAAAAACGATAAAAATGTATAAACATGATTGATATCATTAAAATGTATCTTTTTTTATTATTATCCGCAACAATATAATATTATATTTTAAGCATTGGCAATGAAGTAATTATGTTTTACACATTTTAATTTGACATTGAATACTTTCACACGTTCCTTTATTTCTTTCACATTGTAAACACTAACCACATCAAAAAAATATTACAAATATCTTGCAGATATAAAATATACCTTTAAATTATTAGAAATTTAATTTCATATTACTCTAAATTTTAGTTATCTTATAATGTAATTTCTAGTTTTGGATTAGATATTTTATTTCAAGGTTGTTGAAATGCATAAACATGTAATATATTATAATATTATAATTATATAATTATAACTAAAATATCTGAAAATGTTTGGTTAATTATTTTTTTTTTTTATGATCATGTGAACGTGAAGTTAGTAAACGCCATCGCTAGTCACGAATCGTATTTAAAATACGACAATTATACAATAATTATTACAAATTTTCCAGTTCAAAGAAACCAAACGCTTGTACTTTTTGACAGACAGAATTTTTTCATGTTTATTTTCAAAATGTTTCGTATGCGTGTTACGTATTTCAACTATCTACGTATAATTCCCATCCGAAGAAACTTTCGATTAGACGGAATAAAGTTTAGAAGAACTTTGATTTGTTTTCGAGAAATAATGATACTTTGATTGAAAACATTTCGTAATATTTTCGATTAATACATTGTATTTGTATAAATAAGTTTTGGTAGTTGTGGCTGGTTTAATTATTATATTTATTCAAATGGTTAATGAGATATTTTAGTATAATTTACTAACAATAACATAAAAACTGTTCAAACAGTTAATTGTGTAATAGCTAAATGTATTTGAATTTATATAACTTATATCGTAAATGACAGAAAATTATAATAATAGTTTTTTCTAAGCACGTATTACAGTGGATAATCTTTTTGCTTTAGGTTTGAAAATGGAAAATCAGACAAGGAAATCCTGGATAATTTGGTAAATCCAAATCGCTATGACAAAAGACTGTTGCCACCAGTGGATGGTGAGTAGTATTTTTAATCGAATAATAAAAAAAAATGTAATGTTATAAATGGTATAAGTGAATCGAAAGGAGATAAGTCTCGGTTTAAAAAACATTTCATAACACGGTAAAAACAAATATATTATGGCCAACGAGTAGAACTCAATCGTATGTGTTGTACAAAATTATATAAACATCGTACGAATTGAGAATTATAAATTTGTTGATTAAAACACATATTATAATAAACTTGAGATTAAAAGGCAAAATCTATAAATATGATAATTTATTATTTACTTACCTAAATATCGTATACCTGCAGTCCTTTAACTTTGGTCCGCAACAACCTTAACACGTAACATACGTCAATACGTTACATAAGTGTATTATTACAATATTATTAGAATATTATTAATTTTTTTTTAATATATAATAATAATATTTTATTCTATAAGAGAATAGATCTCATCTTTATTACTATGTTCAAACACTTTTCACTTTTGTCTCAAGTACAACACCAACCATCGTATTTAATAAATAAAAATTACTCTTTAAAAATATAAAAAAAAAAAAAAAAATGAAAGTTAGACTAATTAAATTTAAATTAACTGAAAAATTAAGTGTAATAAAAATAATTATAAATGTTCATGTTTTATTGCCTACTAATGCAATTTATTACATAAAATAATTATTATACTGTTATTTTTGATTACAAGAGATTTTATGGAAAAATGTATTCCTTAAATAATTCATTAGGGATCCGCGATTTCTAAAAATATTTCACTAGAGACCACTGATCGTGAATGGGTTAAGAACTGATGCCTTGTACAATAAACTGACGTAAATATTATTTTTTTCGATTAACCTAATACCGAATTCCTATTATTAAAATTTCGATCAAACGGGAAACATAAAATCATAGTAACATATTTAATGTCTTCAAAAACTAAGCGGACTCAAGTGCTCGGATATTCGTAGGAGAATTGATTAAAAATGTTCAGAAAGAATACGTTACAAACACTGTAGCTGCGGTTCGCGATATCATTTGATAACTTTGATAACACACAATAGAACCGAGATAAACGTATGCGTATGGAATTGAAACGATATTATATAAACGTCGATTGTAGCCCACGTCTAGTACCGAGTGTGAATATTAATATTTTACGTGTGCATGCGTGTTTAGATCAAGACTTCTGCTGCGGGATGAAAACTCCACAGGACGTGAGGGTAATCCTTCCGTCGGCCAGCAAACATCCCATCCGGAAAGGTACGAGCCGCGGCGGTCAGCTCCGCATCATTTCCTTTGAGATTATTTACCACATTTCCCCCCGGTTTTTCAGGACCTTTGTTGGTGAACGTTAGCGTGCTGCTACTCAGCCTGGCCTCGCCCGATGAGTCAAGTCTGGTAAATCATGATCCGTGGCTGAGCGCCCGTTAATTAAAAATCAGCAAGGACGGCTCGTGGACAATGAAAAAGAATGATTAAAAATTACTAATTTTATGAGAAGCGACAGTCAATGGTTGAAATGTATTCATTTGATGGATTTTATATATATATATATTTTCTTAAGAACTATCAGAGCTTAAATAAATGAATAAATAAACGCTTAGCTAGAGGATAATTAAATTTGTAATTTACGACCGGTTTTGAATTAAAACTTCATCATCAGGTATGTACAAAGTCAATAAAAACGCGACTTTATTGACTTTATATATACCTGATGAATTTTTAATTTGAAAACCGTCGTACTTTATGAATATCATAATACTTCGGACTAAGCGTTTACTTATTTATTTCTACACACATCTACTCTTTATTTATATATTAATATAAGAGTCATAAATATTTAATAATTATTATTTTATTATCAGAATTTGTCACTTGGAGTAAATTAAAAATACGAAGAATTGTTTAGAAATTATAAAATTAAAAGTACGTATAATCAGTGCCAAAGTAACCAAAAGTTAGGCCCTAATATATTTTTATTTAAAAATATTATAATTTTTGCATATTGTTTTAATTAATATAAAGGATGATGAAATTTTTGTAAATAATAAAACAGTAACTGTTATAATTTTTAACATTAAATTTTTAATTTTTGCACCCTCCCAGGAGTTTTGCTCAGGCCATAGGCACCTCTCTTTTCCCTTCTTAGTACGACCCTGTATACAGTACATAATGTGTTAGGGATAAAAATATAAAAATGTCCAAGCCAGGTGCTCGTAGATCGTGAAATACGTATATCAGATCCTCGCTACCGAATTCGTCCTACTTTATTTTTTTATTCAATTGTCCGCAAGGCCCGGAATCAAATATCCGAAAAATCATCTGCCAATAATGCTCTAAAAAAAAAAAAAATAAATAAAACGAAATTGCCAAATACGTTACAATATACACGTAAATAATTTGTCGTATGGAAACCACGAGCCGACACTGCGAACGCACACACGTATATTATATACGTATTACTTTAACACTCGTGTTCCTTCCGTTCGCCCTGTCCGTCAACCGCAGAAGTACGAGGTGGAGTTCCTGCTGCAGCAACAATGGTACGACCCCCGTCTGCGGTACTCGAACCAGAGCCGGTACGACTTCCTGAACGCCATACATCACCACGGGGACATCTGGGTACCGGACACGTATTTCATCATGCACGGTGACTTCAAAGCGTCACTGATACCGGTGCACTTCTCATTGAGGATCTACAGGAACGGCAGCGTGCACTACCTGATGAGGTGACGTTATTTTAAAATATACTATTTGCGATATGTGCAGTGCCAGATCTTGGGTAGGCAAGTGGGTATGCTCATATGTACTCAGAAACAGAGCCGTGTTTAATGGTGGCAAGGGAGTATGGCCATTGCCCCGAGCGGAAAATTTTATGATGTTTGATGGGGCGGAACATACGTAAGGGTGCTACATTTTTATTGCTTTGAAATTCTTAAATCCGGTGTGTAGCTTAAAAGGTCCCCATACCCCCTTTCACGATAGGGACGCGGCCCTTCAACATTCGAGCATTAATTTATAACTGTTGGGTTGTGTTTAATATACCCTGCCGTACGAGGGTGGATTGCGTATGGCTTCGGACGACATGACGTGCTGTAGTAATAAAAGGGTGCATGGATTCGTAAGAATACGGATAGCGATCGAATCGTTTTGTTGCACATCGCACCCCGCGGAGGCGACCATGATGCTCTGTAAACGATCCGAATGAATTCCGCCATGACGGCCATGAGAAGAGGGGTGTGGCCGTGTGTGGGATGCGCCGTTCGGGGACGGTACACGGTTTTCACGTTCGTAACGGGTATCACCTAATTACTTTGATGCGATCACGAAAAGACATGTATACAAGTTGTTTATTTTAAGTATGCTCACCCATTTCTATTTTATGATCGGATGGCAGAATCATGGAAACCGTACGTGTGCCGTACGATAATACTTTCCGTTATTTTCCCATGCACAGATATTTTGTGCCTCTTGAGGAGTACCATATTTTGTTTTTCGAATGGCAATGCGAATTTTTTTTATTTTCGCTAATTATTTTTTCGGTCAACTTTTCTTGATTTTTTTAAGGTAACATAGTCAACATAGGAATCGGAATTTGGATATTATTAAACCATCAAACCGCACGAGAAAGGTGTAAAATAATATCGATGATTTTCTTTGTCGTTATAGTTTTAAAGTAATGCGAGTATAGTTCAATGCGTACACACAAATACTGATAAATACTGGAGATAGGATGCTTTTTCGTATTCCGATTCCAGTTCCTTATGCAAATTAATAACAACAATTTAATTATTTTTAAAACACTTTTTACCGTAAGATTCGAATACTTTCGAAAATTGTATAGTTATTTGAGAAATGAATGCTATACTCCATAAAAAGTAAAAAAAATTTATGTACTAAAAAATATATATATGTTGTTTTATTATAAGTTTTTTTTTTTTATAATTCTGAATCTTAATAAACGCAAAAAATGTAAGTGGTTGATATGCTTAAGAATTAATATAGTATTTATGGTTTATTTTTGTAATTTTTTTCAGACGTCATTTGATTCTATCTTGCCAGGGAATACTGAACATATTTCCTTTCGACGATCCGCAATGCACGTTTTCGATGGAAAGCAGTAAATATCTATAATTTTACTTTGTTCGCGTTTACAATTACAATATTATACGTGAGTCATGCGTAATGTGAGAAAGGCCAATTGATTTTCTCGACCGAAGTACAACACGGCTCGTTTAATACTCAATTTTATATTGCAATAAAAATATTTTACGTCGGTTTAATTTGAGCGCGTATATTGCGCTGTACTGTACAATAATACCCGATAAAATTTTTTACGCGACGAAAACATCGTAACCATAATATAATCATTTCACGCGGTCAATGACGCGTAGCGTATTTATTAAAGTTCTAAATTTTTCTAAGCAGATGACCAATAAAAAAAAAAAAAAATAGAAAATCACGTTTTTATCACCGCCGCGGCGGATATTGTACACGTAAATATAGTACATGGTAATAACATAATCATTTTGTTTAGTATCGTACGAAATGTCGGCCATTAAGTACGTGTGGAAGAACGACGAGAGCACTTTGAAGAAATCGCCGTCCTTGAAAACGTTGAACGCGTACTTGGACCGCAATCATACGACTGAATGTCCGTCTACCGGTAGTTGGAGAGGTAACGTTTTTTTGATACGTCGTATGAAAATGTTAAACGCGAACGGGGTCGAACCCGCACTGGTGATCTGAAACGGATATAGGTAAGGCACTCGATTGGCGATTATTTGTTTTCTGATCGAAAACGGATTCCTCGCGTTATATTTCCCGCCTTGCCCGTGCAAACGTATTGTTATCATAGAACGGTGATGACCAAGGCTCGAAACTTCTGCGCTAAAAGTACTCAAATTTGTGCATACACAAGCGTAAGAATAAATATCATGCGGAATAATATGCAGTAATAAATTTGGAAAATATGCAAACATGTACAGTTTATTGAATAAAAAACAGTTTACATAAATTAGGTACATGGGATTGAAAATTAAAAGAAAATTTAAAAAAAAAAAAACATAAGCGCTGCGCACTTGTGTATTCTTGTGTCTTCCTGTATATAAGCTACACAGACTTCATTAAACTTTAATCTTCTCGAGGATAAATGTATACAATACTGATAACAACTACTTAACAATAATACCTTGGTAAATTTATACAAAAATAAATTCAAGACGGTCGGTAATCTCTATTACGATTTCTCAGTATGATAGCAGATTATTAGTACTAAAATAGCCATCGATGAATTCGTTTATCAAACGATATGAAATGTGAATTTTGGTTGACACATATCTAATGTATAAATTTGTAAAAAAAAATATTTTCGTTAAATCTAGGCATATAAAAGTAGTTAAACCTAATACATAAGAATTCCTACAAACTATAACGAAATATGCAAAATTATGCAACAAAAATTTTTGTGTTTAAAATCTGTGTACCATGGACCGGATTTGTATCGCAATAAAATTTCAATATGCACTTTCTCAACAAATATGCAAACTCCTAAAGTTCCGAGCTTTGGTGATGACGTATAAATATTAAGTTGATAACTGACCGCGTGTGTATTCTACAGCGGTGTGATGATGACCACGTATCGACATGATTATATTACTCATGAATATTATCAAATCAACATCGACGATGTCGAAACACGCGTTCGTCCGACGTGACGTAACATTCGAACAATTACCTCGACCCTGACGGTGTCAGGAAAAATAATTAAAATAAAATCATCATCAAAGCGAATAGAAATACTCGTTCCGTTCCCCGTGTTCACGACGGATTAAAGTAGTGTACGTTTTTGTCGCTACGGATTTGTCAGCTTGTCACGTGAAACGCTGTTCATATTAAGACTTTTATTATTATTACATATTTTTTTAACACTATTTTTAAAGCCGATTCTATTGAAAAACAAACAAATAAATGTATAAAACTCTATTATTTTTCCAATTAAAAAATACATGTACAAAATCTACCTATAAATCTCCTAAAACTGCAGTGTATAAATTTTTCATACAATAAACAGCGTACTGATAGGGCATTTAAATCCCGATAAGACGGATTAAACACGGGATTGATAGAATAATGAACTCGGACGTTTGACCCGAGAAAAATTCCAACTAAGAATAAAAATTAAGAAAAGATCCATAAAAATATTTTTTCTTTTTCGAATTTAAATTTATAGATAGTTAAAAAATTATTTTCGCGAGATGGTAATTATTGTGTTAAACGCATCTGACAATGATATTATTTTGGCCGGATGCGTTCAATACAAAAAAATTAAGAAATATAATGCACCTATTCATTAAATTTATGGTATCCATTATAATTATGTTTTATTTTGTGACTCATAAGAAAATAATGATTTTATTATTATTATTATCATCATCGTCATTATTATACTTAATAGTCTTCTTAAAAAATAATTCTATATTTAAAGAACATCATAATCTGCTTGTAATGGGACTGTAGAAAACATTAATGTGAATATTTTTTCAAATTCACATAATGAAAGAGAATAGTTATACATCTACATTTAAATAAACTATGCCTTCAATTATAAAATATACAAACGCATCTTGAATTATTGTGCTTGAGTAATTATTTGAGTTAAATGTATATTGTGGTTTATCCGACTGACTAACGTTTGTAAAGACTTGTTCGCTAGATTTATGGCATTTACTAACTGAATTTATTCTAATTCTAGCCAAGTCGAGATATAAAATTAATCTTGGTGCTTGTTGCAGAAATCCTGCATGAATACCGATTTATTTATATTTAAATGATTTCATTAAATTATTAGAATATTATTATGATCGAGATGAATTATCGAATTAAAATGTATTTCAGGGAGTTGGTTAATTGGTCCCTAAATAACTTTTTCTCGGTAAATTGGGTCCCCGGAAAATAAAGGCAGTAGGTAAGTTGAGCCCCGAGGAAAAAAAGGTAGTAGGTAAGTTGGGTGCCGGGAAAAAAAAAAGGTGGAATAGTTTAAGTCCAAGGTAAACAATTTTTTTTTAAATATCTAATAATTTTTATTAGAAGTCAATTTTAATATTATTGTATTTTTTTTTTTTTTTACATTTTCGGTAAAAACTTAAAAGATACGAATTTAACAAACTCAAATCGGCGTACAGTACGCAATACACGCTACGAAAAATATAGAGAAAATGCTCAGATTTCGTTCACTCGTGTCTGTGTGTAATCATAAAAACTATCATCAATATTGGTGTGAACTGATAACTGACACACGATATACGACAGACTAATGTACGTAATGCCTATATATACGTATCTTAATTAAACATAATCAGAGTTACGACATTACGAAGTTTTTGATCACTATAGAATTGATAAACGATAAAAACAGTGCTAATTGTAATTTGTAAAACGACTACGGCGAGGTAGTATAGTTAGTAGTTGGGACTCAATTTACCGCATTCAAAATGTACACAAAATATGGCGGACCCAATTTACCTAGTCTTGTATTTCAATCGCCTTAATGGTATATTTTTATCCATATTCAAATTCTAATTTTAGAAAATACTACCTTTTTACTAATTTCAATTTATACAAAAAATTACTGTTTTACTTTCCTCTAGTGCAACGTATATTTTTATTATTATACTTAAAAGTTAATTTGATTTTAGAAAACTATGCGTAAAAATCAAAATTCGAACTGGTTATATGGAAGAACAGAGTAGTACAGCAACATTTTTAGGTATTGGCCGCTCATTAAGACTTAAAATACATTTAGCTAATTATAAACAGTGATTAAGTATAAGATTTATATAAATCGAGAATCAAATCTACTTCAAAAAATTAATTTAAAAAAAAATGTTACTTACCTATTAAGAAAAAATTAAAATTAAAAATTATTTTTAATAATAATAATAATAATAATAATATATATATTACATATTTGTTACAAAAATCTGAGTTAGTAAAACGAATTTCAAAAGTCGGTATTTCAATTAATAAATAAATTAGGCTTAAACCTGGACCGAACATACTCAAAAATTCATTTAGTATACAAAATCTACTCTTCTTAACACTATTTTTAAAAACGGAAGGCTTGAATATAATTTAATACAGTGGCCATGCGAATGGCTTATATTTGAATCACGTGATTCGTAAATGCACTGAGCACTTTATAATAATAGTATGAAATGTGAATTTCTGAAACACAACTTAAAAGTTATAAATTTAAACATTTATACACGCAGTAACTTCGTATAAATAATTTTGGTAGGTGGGTGGGTGGATGATCCTATGAAGTTATTGGTTTGAGTAAAAAAAAACTGACTGTTACCACTGCTTGAATATACAGCAGTAGGTACAATGTTAAAAAAATAAATTATTATTATTGTAATGTTATATGAAAATCTAAGATTTGATTAAAAATATAGTTTAACATTTGTATAAATATAAAATTTTAATAACAGTAAATAGTATGATTATTTTAACTTATTCGTGTGAATATACAAGTTATTTATCTACCACATATGTAAATAGATAAGAATATAATGATTCAATTATAATGAACTGCATGATTATATTCATATGATCGTATACGAATGAATTTCTTCTACATATTTTTCCAAAGCTTGTAAAGAAGCTAAAATATAAACGTACAGTTTATAATAATTATCTTTATTTTATTCATATAATGAGCATGTTTAATATTTATTTAATAAATGTCAATGGTTATCAAATTCGGTAAAATAAAGAACAATTAAAGTGTTTGAATATACTAATAAACGTATTTTAAAGAAAAATAAATAGATTATTATTTTTTAAATAGACAAAGGTCAAACATTTTGTATTTTTAAGATAATAATTAGTAACTACTGTCCACGAGGATTCATATATTAATTCCTATAACATACAGAATGGAACTATTGAAATACTACTTTAAGAAGTATATAAAGTAGCGGTAAACTACGCAGGTCGAACAATTTTCTATGTGAACTGTAATTTTTATAAGTGTAAACCGTACCGAGGTTAAGGTAAAATGTGATGTGGGCAAAACAGCACTGCTAGAAAATAAATAAAATTTAATGGAACAGCTGTTTCGTACGGTTGTAAAAAATAAGCCTTATAATATCACTGTAAACATATACAAAAAAATTAAGAGGGCTTTGTTTTTTGAACATAAGTAAGTAATTCAAAATAATTTATTCGTTTCCCCGCTAGTTGTAAATTAATTTAATTTTACGACGTTATATTATACGGATGATTTTTTTTTTATTTTCGAAAAGATATATTATATATATTTGTAATATATTACAATGCATTACACAACATGACGCATACATAATTTGAAACGCAGTAGAGTCTATTGAAGTGGCTATAGCGGCTTTTAGAGGCATTTCTACGAGAGCTAAAATGTGCAATGGCTCGTATGAAACGATTAAATTTCAATTCGATTGGAAATTTCACTGGATTCGTTAAACTACTTTACAATGACTTGTATGGCAACGACAACGAGGAAAGTACAGTATATTATTTTCAAAGCGGTCTACACGTTGTTAGTGTTATACGCTGTTTGGTTAAATTTACTGGTACAGATTACAGTGATTAGGTGCACCGCAGATAACCCGTTTGACATTGTATACATTTTATGGTTTTAAAACATTATGATGATCGTTAAAATCGTTATTATTTAATGTAAATTTAGATAACGTAAACGAAACGTTTGTGCATAGTGACTTTCGGCAACCCGTTTTTTTTCGACCACATTGTTATAATAATTATAAAAATACATTAACACACGTAGCATTGTTGTTACTACGCGTCTATACTTATCGGACTTTGTTATTCTTATAATAATGAAATAATATTGCAGAAACATTTTTTTTTTCACCGCCACATTTAATATTTGTATTTTATATCGTTCGCAGGTAACTATAGCTGCCTTCAAGTGGATTTGATTTTCACCAGAGACAGAGCGTTTTATTTCACCACGGTTTTCATACCGGGCATAATATTAGTGACTTCGTCGTTCATCACGTTCTTTCTTGAATGGAATGCAGTGCCGGCAAGAGTTATGATAGGTATTTAATTTAATCAACCGTAACGTTAACTATCGTGTACTATAACTTTCGGAGATCTGACGTGGAGACGTATCATCCGTTTTTAATAATAAAGTTTTGGACAATCGTCGAATTAGGTATTTTTGGAATTTCATTCGTGTGCTAGGCGGTAACGCGAGAACCAAAAACTTTGAAGTATATTTTATTATAATGTATTCGTTTTTGATTGAAACATGACATGTCCCTGCCCGCAGCCGTTCGTCAAATATGTACAAAACGAAACAAAGTAATAATAAGAGCACATGATTTCGTATTATTTTGTTACAATCTTCCGAATTCAGAAACATACAGTTATTAATAATGGTATACTAACCGAACAAAAACTATATTTTATAAATGTGCGTTTACATTTAATAGATTTCTCCTTGTATAGTTTGGACAACGTTTGATTATACCCGGTACTTTTCGGAATTATTGGTTTTGCCATGAGCATCACAATTTCGACTAGAAACAATTATGCCCCGAAAAAAGTCGACCGTTTATCGACTACACATATTTGACACTATCTTACAGATCCTCCTGTACGTTATTCAAGTAGTACACGGAAAATAAAAATATGCACACAATTTACACGAGTAATAAATTGTTATCTACAACTTTTTAAGCAGGCCCGACTGTGTTGTTTTCGAAAAATCTCTTGGCCGCAACAATAATTGCTACGCGTGGTTTTAAATTATAAAACATTTTAGAACTATTCGACAAGTATTTCAAAAAATTATGCAATCTTAGCTTTAGGACATAGAATAAGCGCTCAACGTTCGTCGATGTCTATATATTATTATGCCTGACCTTATAACCGTACCAATTTGACGCGAAACGTGTGCGCGAATAAAGTGTTCCGAGGGCATCGAGGGTTTTACGCGTTACCGGAACGAGTTGAAATTTAAAAATCGTTTTATTGTTGCAGCGCTACGATTCAAGATATTACCGTTACTGCGCTTAACGATAGAGTATTGGAACAACCGCGAAACGCAGTTTTTCTCGACCGAAAAGTTTTTGATTGTTTCCAATTAAACACGAATACTGTAACAATATGTTGGTCTCGCACGCCCGTACACGACTTTCTATGGTCCGCCGTCGTCGTATAACGTTGTTGTCTGTTGTTGCAAATACAGGTGTAACGACAATGTTGAACTTTTTCACTACATCGAACGGTTTCCGAAGCACTCTGCCCGTGGTGTCAAACTTGACGGCCATGAACGTGTGGGACGGCGTGTGCATGTGCTGCATATACGCCAGCCTGTTGGAGTTTGTGTTGGTCAACTACGTCGGCCGAAAGCGTTCGGACTGGCCGTTACCGATCGGGTACCAGAACAAAGATCAGGACTACAAGCAAATAACGCAAGTACGGATTCGATTAAAATATGCTTCATTAGCGAGACCGATGCGTTAAATTTTTTTGGTTGCAACAATCATTTACGAGTCGATAGACGTGTCAAAGGCACGTTCACGAAATGTACGATTGAGCGGGGAGGCAGGGGCGGCTCCAGAGCCTTGTTTAGGGAGGGGAGGGGGCAAGTTATAATTTTACAAAATCTTATAACAAAAAGAAAACAACAATTTTTACAACACAAATTCAAGTCGTCTATTTTTAAAATTAGTAAAAATATCAATAATATGATCTATTTGATCTAGAATATCTACTTTATGACATAATGCTGATAGGTCTATCTTTAGTCATCATTGAACGAAGTCAGGTTTTTAGTCTCCGAAGTGTGGAGAAACTCCTTTCAACCATTATACCTCATGGCTCTATCTACATACTTGTGTGTGTCGTATGATAGTACGTATTATAATATGCATTTTTTGTTAACAATATACATTTTTTTATAAATACGGTATGGGCTTGGGAGGGGGCTGTGGCCCTAGGGCCACTCCTAGAGTCACACTGCGGGGAGGGTAGGTGTAAAATTATTAGCGAAAACAAAAAACGTATTCTTCTACAATAGTGAAAACGAGACAAAAATTAATTAAATCGCCGTTCCATTGGAATTGTTATTAATAAACTGTTGGGTAATATTAAAATAATTGTTAGTCTGTGTAATATCCATTCCCGTGGGATCGTTACAGTTAAATAATAAACCGATGAAAAATACCAGATCAGCTAATACACCCTTGGACGATACTTACAGTTTACTCACAATACTTGCTGTATTTCGTATACGAGTGAACAAAAATGGTAAAATTTGAATCGTTATTACAACGTAAGAACTTTATACTAATATTGAAAATAATTTTATTCCAAAATTTTCTAAAATAAATCTTAATACATTTTAAACATGTTATACGTGTTCACGTCGAAATTAAAATACGTTTAATTATTTTATAAGCTACCAAAATGTATTTTATTTATTTTTTTACCCAACAATTGGTTTTGAGAAAGTTCAGATTGGTAAATACTGTGGAATGGATTTTATCCTAACTAGAAATCTCTACGACTGCTAAAAAGAAATAAATATTTATGTATAAATCTGGTCCCTTGCTTATTAGATAAAATATTTTACCCAGTTTTTCAATATTTTAAATTGTTTTAAATATCGAGCAAACCAATGGGTTACTTGAATCTATTACGTGTACAATGAACTGCGCTAAACCCGGAGTGATATAAAAACAATTTTTTTTTCTTTTTATCATATCGGTAAAAGTTTTGCTTCGACGGAAAACAATAACCCATAATTGGATTAAACCGTAGTGTTTCCCAAACCTTTAGTCGTTGTCGTGAAAACTAACATCAACGTGATGACCAGTACTTATGATTATTACTAGAGAATATTGGTGAAATTTGCAGATTAAGTTATACATTTGTTTTATGTAAAAAAGATTTCAAACCTAAATATTTGTATTTCAAAGTCGTTTTACAGTTTTGATACTAATTTATTTTATTTTATTTTTTTGCTTATATGCATTAAATTTGATTTTTTTTTATATTTTTTATAAATCTCGTAAGTTAAATTATAATTTCAGATAAAAGTTATACCGACTAGGTATGATAATAGAAAAATTATATATTTATATATTATATAATAATATTTCCGCCTCATTTTTTTTTTTTATAAATTTAATTATTCATAGATAATTATTTAATAAATAAATTTATTTTTCTTGATTGTGAACGAAAAGAAAAATTGTATAGGTACAGTTTCAAAACAATTAAAATATTTTTTATTGCTGATATTTTTCATAATTTTAGGACAGCATAATGTAGCACCTATTTTAAGATTGTCTAGACCGCAAAGTAGTGCGTATTCCATTAACTTTGAGTGCTATCGGACCCGAACCATTGTGATTGAATTTTTACTCGAATTATAATATTGCGTAATAGTATGTATATAATATTGATATCATGTTATTTACGAACGTAAACGTAATGTCTAGAGTGCATCAAAACAAACGCACGTAGAGCGGCGTTTCACTCGAGAATGTCGTGTACAATAACGTTATTATATATTTGCATTTTAATATATTATTATACGTACCTAACATGTCCATGAACTAGTGATACGAAATATTTTCACATTTTACAAGAAAATAGTATCTGGAAAGTTCGCGTCGCAGCCGTACTCAACTATGCCCGCTACGACGTACAGTAATAAGTTTATGAAACTTATAATGTTTGTACAAACTTTTCTGCACACACACACACACACACACACACACACATTTTTCATTCGTATAAATTCCGCACCAAGGTCCGAAAGACACGTATAAAATAATATTATCGTATTATTCAAATATTAATAATGTCATCGTGTTACGCGAAACCGTATACGTTTGGAAAATACGTCGTTTCAGTTCGTCGGCCCCGCGTATCTGTCGGTCAATTTTAGCGGTTTAGAATTTCGTATTTCACTGAGACACTTGTCATTAACCATTTATATTTAAGCGAAGATAATTTCTTACCGTTTACCATGGTGGTGATCATATAAGGTTAATATTTTTCGCACTTAAACGCAGTAACACGTATTTATTTTTACGTGCGGACATTGAGAACAAAAACAAAAACAGAATTCGCGTTAATTTGGGTATTGTCTCGTGAAATGGTTAACGTATTGCTTTTGTAAAGCATCTAAACTCTTTTCGTTATTTCAATTTTGGTACAATTTGTTTCCTACTTACTCGCTTTATTAATTATTCATATGCAGCGTACAGAGTTGGCCCAAGTTTAAAGTATGTATTCTGAAAAATTTAAAAAAAAATCTCTTCTTCTGCATCTACAATTTACCAGAATTGGACATTATACCAACTACTCCAATATTTGTTTAGTAAAATATATTTTCGATATTAGTATCCAAAGCATAGATTTTAGAACGATATTTAAAAATACACAAAATAACCAATCGATAGAAAAAAATAAAATAAAGCTATAAAATAATTTTGTATACACAGTAACACAGTATTATTAGCAAGTTTAAAATTACTCTTATGGATGACAACAAAAAAATCAGCGATGGTTTATTGTATAAAGCCATAGCAACTTGGAATAATTGAGTTTTTTTTTAAATAATTTGAGTTATATGTTGGTACGTATAACATAGTGGTTGAGCGGTTATTAAAAGCAGCCTTATTATAATTATAAATATTAAACTTATACGGAGCAATAGAGAACACGGCAAACTTTTTGTAAGTCGATTTGATAAAATAATGATAATGATAGAACCTATGCCAAAGGTTCGAAAATTAAAGAAATCCAAAAACAGAAATATTGACCGAGAAAATATCATTATAAGTGGCGTACATACATACAGTGGGTTCAAACTCCCCCTAGGGCCAAAAAAAAAAAAAAGAAAATTGTTTTATTATTGATGACGTGTAAATATATTCGTAGTTTCATTATTACGCTTTGAACTTAAAATAAACAACTATACAAATAATATGATAGTTAAATAATTATATTGATAGGTGTTTGAAAAGTTTTGTTAACTATGCTATTTTTATATTCCAATAGCTATTTATTTACTGTAATGTAAAAGTAAACTGTAAATTGGTAAAAAAGTTGTATAAAATAATATATATTTATAGCAGTTATTTATCTTATTTATCTGTACAATGAAAAAAAAAAAAAGATAACGATTATTTTTGTTAACCTCCTCCCCAGAGCAAGATTGTAACCACATAAACGAATCACTCTGTATTTCAGACTTCCCGAGCGGTAGAGCGGAGTAAATTATAAAGCTTATAGAAACCAATTGAAACTATTATTCCCCTGCGACCACGTTAAATCAATGATTTACGCTCGTGTACAATAGGTAGGAACGTGTAATTATGGTTTTACATCGACGTGCGACGGTCTCGATCATTTTTACAAGACTTGCAATATTACAGTCGGCTCTACATGTAATCGGGTGGATTTTAAATATCTATTATAATGTGTATATCGCACACGACGTGTTACCCTGTACTACGGTGTGTGTAGTATTGTTGTTTACGATGCGAGGCGATTAAAACGGAAAATATTGTGTGTAATGGCCAAAATTCTCCAAGTCAGCCGGCCCGACAATATTCTAATACTTCGATTAGAACGCAAGGGTTGAGAGTAATTATTTGTACAGGAATCGGGAATAATAGAATAATTACTAAACAAGGTCCGGAGAAGAAAACAAATGTGCTTCGCTCCGTTATTATTTTCTATGGTTTTGTAACTAAAACGTTTTACAAAAAAAAAATATAAATCACCGTATTAATATCATCAAATATGACGTCCGATTGCATTACAAACCCAATGAAAGATAATTTTTTTATACGTATTCTAGCCGTAAATTTCTTCCGACCGACTTCTTAAAACTACTGGGAATTTTCAAAAAATAACATCTGCGAAATACCTAGCCCACGGAAATGTGTCTAATAAATGAAACGTTCGAGGGCGAGTGGTGGAAACCGCCGTAACGCTCGCGATACGGTAGCAGTCCGCTCGGAACTTAGGACCACGAAATAAACTTATATTTGCATAATTATTTTGTTACGGCGACTATTGTTATTGTAATCATTATGAATTATAAAACGGCGATCGCGTTAAAAACCGTGGACCGCTACCCCTATACCAGGGATTGCAAATAAGTGGTACACATGAGATTTTCGATGGCACTCGAACAACTTTCATCTGTCCATATATATTTATAGATTTTTAAGTAACATACAATAAATGAATTATCAATTGCACATGTTAATAATACATATTCCAAAACGACGTATTGCTATCTTTATTATTATAAAATATAATTTATGTGTTGTAATACGTATATAGTGGGATGCCAGATTACCTACTGCGTGTTCACTTCAACTAGAAGTTGTATTCTAACAAACAATCATAATATTTTTTTTTACATTATTTCTATTTTTATGTAACTTTCTACGTTACAATCATTAATTTTTCATTTGTATTTTTCCGAGCTAATAAAAATGGTATTAATATCGACTCGATCGCGTTTGTTTGTTCACCACCACGTAGTTTTATTGTACCTACTTGTTTCATCCTATTTGATAAACGCGTGTGTACACCGTCTTGTACGCGTAAATGATGTTTTATTTATTTATTTTTGTTTTTTTTGTCTCAATGTTCTCACAGCGTTACTTAAATCGACAAGATGCGAATCAGATTAGTTATGAGAGTTACGTGGATAGCGAGAAGTGTACAATATACGTAAGATATTGGGATTGTAAATTATTAGTAATGTTTGAAGTCGGACGTACTGACACACACTTTTTAACTTTTTTTTTTTTACGCATATTATTTCTAGCCTATACAGCCTTATTAATAATGTAGTGCCCCTGTACGCCGTATCACGTAGAATTCATATTTATTTAAAAACCAAACCTTCGAACAGCTGTAGTTTACCTGAATATCAAATAATAGTCGCATTTATTATAGTTAGCTTACAAAAAGCACTACGGAAATAATATTAAATGAACGAATCGTATAATAATGTGAGATGTATGCACACGAAAAAGTACCGAAAACAGGACGTGTTCAATAACAAAAAAATTTACGTGTAAAACGTATGCCTACACATATCCTCGGCAACGTTTTACGTGCGATTTTTATTTAACGGATCGGGCTAATAAGGGTGGTGAAAATTGTTTTTTAACCTTTTCTCTGCCAAGCACTTTTAAATTATTCACCACTGACTAGCCAAGCTTTTTTATTTTTGGAATTTTCACTTTTTTTTTTTTATTCTATTTAACACATACATTTCGGAATTCGTTTGTATTTCATTTAGCGTCGCTGGTATTTCGAATGCGATACCACGGTCTACGTACAATATTCGTAATATGAATTCAAGTTAAATGTGTTTAGTGTCACTTAAGTAATATTGGAAGTTATTAGCGGAATATACGAATGGTATATCACACCCATTCACATACACACTTTTTTAAAAAAATTGTATGAACATGAACACTTCACTGGTGTGCTTGAACTAAAATCGTTTTATTCAAAAGGCATACGATTGAGTTCAAATAAAATTAAAATAAAAAATTTGTCTTGCACTCAACTGATCAAATTGAGAAAAATACCTTTGAAAAAATGAAACCAATTAATGTCATATTATATTCATTAAACAACGACTATTCAATCATTTAATACATACCATAATTGAATGGACTTGTACCATAAATGATTGGTTTTAATGTTTTTTTTTAGTCGATAACAAATTCGTTCGTAAAAAAAAAAACATCCTGTACTTACCAATACACTACGGTCGATTCTTAACGATTTATTAATTACTTGCGTATTGTTATCAAATTATAATTTTATTCTAACCTGATTTCCGAGTGAAAATTAATAATTTGAGTACCCACAAAACGTACAATTGTTCATTAAAATCCCATCTGGTCACCTTAACGGTGTATATAATATCAGTTGATGGTAATAATTTTAATTAACCCAAATTATTATGTTGTTTTTAAAATATTTTTCAAAAATTGAACTATTGTGACTGCATTACATCATGTTATATTCACGTGTATAATATATTATAAACGTATCCGTTCAGAGCAATGAAACTCACATGAAAGCTAAAATGTAATCATTTTAGTACCAATTGCGCAGTGTACAGCGACTGTGTACGCATAATTTGAAACTTTTCGTGAATATATTTTAAAATAAACGTCAACTTGAGAAACCCACTTTCACGAGAAATACGTTCGTATATATGTAAGCTCGACAAATAACAGTTATTCGTGTTTATTGTTGAGTACGAACTATTTTATTACATCGAATAGAAACAAACAATTTGAAATCCAAATTATAAGGAGTAATTTGCAACGTATGGTATGCAACGTAATAGTTGCAGCAATGCAGAAACCGACCATAATTTTTCTATCTTTCTTTTCGTCTCAGTGATGATTAACGTTGTAATTAATCGTTGAAAGTTCGCATAGTTTATTCACTCGAATCTTACTATGTTATACTTAAACCAATAAAGACGCCTGTGGCTACAGATTAGACCGACTTTCACGAATGAATAACGAATGAATATTACCCACGCGCACTTCATTCCGACAAATCAACGTGAATATATTTATCAAGGGCGTATTATAGGGGGAGGCGAAGGGGCGATCGACCCCCGTGAATCCGTATTTAAGAAATCGATTATATGTGGAATACACATTTCAAATTTTTTAATGTGGATAATTTTATAACGAAATGGCTGTGAATACTGAATTGGGCTTTTTGTTGGGTCCATACTCGATGAAAAATCAAATAAAATACGAGTGTAATTTTCAAAACACAGACAAGTGTTAAAAAAGAACTACACAAAAATCGATTCTAAGTGGATTTGGCATTAGATTAAAAAAACACAAATATTAAGGATTCACCTGATTTGGATATTACCAAAAATTTTACTTGTAAATTTTGAGCTAGAATGAAAGAAAAAATTTGAGTCCTCCTCTTGAAGTAAGTCTAAATACGCTCTTGATATTAATACATCGGAAAGTTGTTCCGATAAATTTGAACTTTCACCTGGTTTTTGTCCGAGACATCGATATAAAAACGGCCATCGCTTTGACCAAGAAGCAGCAGCACTTGGACTTGGAATCACACTTTACCGAACACTTCTGATCGAATACTCTGTTATCGAGGTTCAGGGTTGTAGCAACCATATATTGCGCCTGGGGTGAAACTTCAAATTACGCCCTTAAGTATTTTAATTTATAATTCTTTATAAATTATTTATATATTATATTATTTATTTAATTATTTTATTATTTTTCTTTATTTCTTTCTTTTTTTTTTTTTTTTTACAAAAAAACTAAACATATTTTATATATGTAATATAAACAGGGCTCGGAATTTATAGCATTAAAAATGTTACTTTTTAGCTCTTAAATATGCACTTAAAAACTCTAAAATATGCGCTATAAATAGCACGAAAAATCAAAAAATGTGCATTCAACTTGAAAACAATGTAATTTTTCAAATTTTCGGGCTCATTAGATACAGTTTGGACTGATTGAATTATAAACTGTTAACAAAAATTTTAAATTACTTAAATATATTTAAAAAAATGTACTTAATATTAAATTATTTTATATATTTACCTTAAAAATTATCCTAGATTATTAAAATGTTTGATAATCTAATGCAATGATATAATAAGAGAATAACAATGACGTCACTAACTATTAATACATCAAATTGTCGATGAAAACATAAAATAATATTTGATGGGGTCTATTTATTTCCAATAATTAAAATATTTTTTAAAAACATACCAAGTAAATACAATTAATATCAACAAAATGTGATTATTTCCTACATTATGTAAAAATACACCCGAAAATAACACTATAAACCTTAAATTAGCAAAATAGCAATAAAACCTTTAAATATGTAAAAAATAGCAAAATTAAATTTTGTGTACGATATACGAGTAGTGAGAAACATATTTGTATCTTACTTTATATGTTCTAAGATGAACCAAGAAAAATATGCATTTGCTAGAACTTTCGAGCCCTGAATATAAATAATGATTTTTCCTATTTAATGTATTCCTAATTATGTAAGCGTTATTTAATTTTATTTAAACTAATAAATTATTAAAAAAAATATATATACATAGCATAATAATATTTATATGTCATATAAGTAATTACATAAGTACAAAATATTGCTTTTACTTATGAGTAACAATTAAATTGCAAATTGTTCATTTTTGTGACCTCCCGGGAATCGCTTCCAGGGCGTAGGCACTTCTAGCCCCGCCCCCCTTGCTACGGCCCTGTCGGGGTGTTTATCGCGGTTCAAGAAGCAACGGTACGCGTGACGTCTCTCGAAAACGTCGTTCACGGGTCTCGCGATACGCGTACGAATGATGCGTATACTGTAGCGCAAAACGTTTTTACAGTCGCACGTACCTCGTGTTCGAATAAAGGTGCACGATATATATTATTATTGTTTCCTCCGCACATAAGGGAGCCGGAAATGTTTGCCGCATAAAATTCCCATAAGAAATACTCGCGCGTTATCGTTGTAAATGCTTTCCCACAAACGTGTAATATTACTCGCGTAAAGGTCGCAGACACGAAAGAATACGTTATTCGATCCGTCGCGACCACTATTCCTAACACGTGCCATGTCGCCGCACCGAGCCTTTTCGTCGTTGAATAATAGTAATATTACTACGCTCGTCCTCGCCGGTATAAAACAAGAAGCAGATCATTGTGCAGTCAAAGGCGGAACTATAAATGATTGAGTGCGAGATTTTCCGTGGGCCTCATCGTTAAAGGGGGAGGAAGGGAAACGCGATGAACTTATATACATACTGTTTAAAAAAATTTCGATTCCAGAAAATTATCATTACTATTATTGTTATTCTCCTTCGTATTTCTATCGATTATTTGGAGTTGGCCAAAAATTATTATTATTATTATTATTATTATTATTATCCAAAAAAAAATTCTATCCACGGACTTCGATGATCGTAGTTCCTTCATTGTGTACAGTATTTCTTATCTCTGCGTTTTTAATTCACATCTCGTAATCGCCTCGGTTAACAATCGTGCGTGCGATTAACAAAGTGTGTTCGATCTGATGTACCTTTTTAGCAACGGTCCGCGACCGTCTTATGCGCAGAAAACGTTTGTTTTTCCAACCATCACTTTTTACTGCATAACAATAATAATCGTGATACAGTTCTCTCTAATCCGTTTGTACGCATATCGACCACGTTTTGGGGAGAATGTCTCGGACGTGGAAAGGAAACTATTTGTTGCATAGGATCGTGCCAAAATTGTGGTAGATTTTATGCAACGGAAAAAAATAATTATTGTAGTGATCGTTGTGCAGGACACTACGATCGGTACCACATTAATTATTTAACGACGTAGTACGTTGTATGTTATCTTGAGACGTTGGGTTGAGAGAGATAGGTAGGTGAATAATTAAACACTGGTATATTAAACTTATAAAACTTACTGTTTTTATTTATTTATCACAATAAATTAACAAACAGTTAAAAATACAAAAAATTAAATTAACAAGTTATTCTGGTCTAAGAATTTTATATTCGCGGTGATGTGGCTGCAACAAAGTCCACGGCGAGTAATAATTTATTAATGAGGGAAATGGCCAGTATAACACTGTCTATTAGGACTACCTATCTACTTCTGAATAATGCTAAATATTCAACCCGTATTTATACGAGTTCCATTGACGTAAAAGTGGCCTAATTCTAATATTACTTTATTTTACTGTCGATTTAACATTATTATATTTAGAGGCCTGGATTTGCCCTGGTTAGGTTAGGTTAGGTTGCCCTGGATTTCCTGCACGCAGGCATAATTATTAATATTTATACTAAATTGTATTGGTTATTAAATTATTTTATTTTATCCATTTCCTGCACGTAAGCCTATTTATTAATGTCTATACTAAATTATATTGATTACTAAATATTGATTATTAAACTATGCTTAGCCTTGGGCTTACTACATTAATTATAATAAGAAAATCAATCGATTTCATGCACGCCTAAATGTTTAGGTGATATTATTTCTGTAAAGCGTAATCCGTCACTGAACGACTTGTGTAAACATTCTTCCAAAAATAAATTGTTATATTTCTTTTATCATTTATCTAACACTGGCATTTGCCGAAGGAACCGTACAATAGATTGCGCTTCGTCTTATAGATTATATTATAGTTGGTTTCGAACAAGCAACACACTACATAATGTATTATTATCAAGTAGATTGTATACTCATAATGCATAGTGTACTACATTATTATACTGATCTAATTGCAATTTTTCGAAAAAAAAAACATTAAGTAGTTTAGCGTCCAAAATTTTTGGTCGAAATTCTACCAGTAGTAGTTTTATATTTATATACATTGATAGTCGTATTCTTACTGAGTAATAATTATTTTTTTAACGCTTTTTTTTCCATTCAGAGTGACAAGGCCCAAGGGGAATGCTCCAGTTGTGGCCAAGGAGCGTGCACGCACTCATTATTACACAACACCTGCCCAACAAAAACAGTAAGTATACGTAGGCGTGCGCAGACTCTAAAAACAAGTAGCGCTCATAAATAATCATCGGCCTGATATATATTTAATATATCAATATTATAAATACATAAATTTATAAATATTATAAAATAATACAACACATCTAAATTGTATATATCTATTTATTATTAAAATTCATGCTAGATTTTCTTACATAGTTTAATATAATAATAACTATAGTTCATAACAGCAATAATTATGACCAACAAAATAATAATTATAATATAATTTTAAGTATCTTATTTTAAATTCTTTATACTCAACAGGTACTAGTAAATTAAAGTTAACTATAACAAATATAAAAATAAATTATGAACTACATAGCTAGAAATGATAAAAGTATTTTATGTATATATTTAGAGAGACATTCGTCTGTTACCCATGCTATAAAATTCATCTATTACTGAATTTAAATTTTCCATTCATACCATTTTTTGTTCTGAGAAAAGCAGTAATAATGACTCCAAACGTTCTTGTCCCATTGAACTGCGTGATTTGTTTTTACTATTGTTAATTTTGAAAAAACGCGTTCACACGTACAGCTAGTACAGGTATGATTGTAAACATTTTTGATGTTTTAAAAATACAAGTATATACTGTGGAATTATTTATATACTGTGGTTTTAACCAATCAATCCATTCATAAACAGATTTACAAGTAGCACCATTTAGTTGCATAGCATTTGGATAATTTTTTAATAGTTTCAGTTCAGTAATTCAATCTTCCTCTGAAACCTTGGAAAATGTCTATAATATTTTTGAAGTATTTTGAGTTATATTCATATTAACATGTATGCCATAGCATCAACCAAGTCAAAAGTATCTTGCTCGAATCAATCCCACTAAGTAGTTTTTCAAGTAATGATAGAATACATTAGTTTTCAATTCATCGAATTTTGTACTAAAAAGAGTTTGGTTTGATAAATTAGGGTCTAAACGAGTTGAAACTTCACGGAAATTACAATCTGGAATGTCTATATCATGTTTCTTGCATAACTGAACTATCAAACATTTGTTTATATTCACTATCATCATTTATCATATTAACTAATGTATTTTTCAAACTATTAACATTTTTCATTGCCAATACAAGAATAAGTTTTGGCTTATGGAGTAAAGACGTAATAGTTAAGTTGAACTATGATTTATTATGATAATTCACCAAATATTGTGCGGTTGATGTTATTAAATGTAAAATATTTAATACTTCCGTTAGATCGATTTTTACTTTTCTTGGAAGTTCATTTAATACGTAATGACTAAAATATATTTTTTCATCAATATGTCTTATAACTAGTAAATTAAAAACCATCATACTGTTATAATTTTCTCGAAGAATGTTCGACAAATTCGTAATATTATGTACGGCGTTACGCCGGCAGTTAAGCGATTCTGGCATTAAATTGTTGAGGAGGCAACAACTTAGTAGCTCAAACCCGCTTCTGAATATATTGGTCTAAATTAAGGAATCAGTCAGTAGTATATATATTCATAATATAGTTTCACTGATACGCACAGATAAAGGCTGAAAAAATGCTCTTGTATATTGTTTTGAACCGCCTTCTTTTCGTGTATAGCACATAAGACATTATATCATATCACTGGTATTTATTCACATTTTAACATTTTTGGGTTTTGTCATTTGACTAGTTTTCCTAATAATAGTAGTAATAATTATATACAAATTTAAATAGGTACTTACCTAAAAATAAAAATATAGTCATAAAAACAAATTTAAATAAATAATTAAAAATGTAATAATTTAAGTTTAATAATTAATAAAATGAAGTAACCTATACGATTTATACTTTGTATACTAATTCAATAGTTCTTTCTTTTTTTCGTGAATATATATTAATAATATCTTCATAAATAGGTTTATTTTCTTTAAGCTGTTGGACCAGTAATTTTTCAATAGATATTGTAGACAATGAATTTAAACATTGTTAAGATGTACGGTTTCTTAATAAGTTTTAATTCGTTTAAGGCATGAAAAACTCCTTTCGACAGAAACGCTCATAGATGGAATAGTTAAAATTAAAGAAAATAGCTTATACACTTCGGGCATAACTTCTTTTAAATCATCTTTTTCAAAAATCTTGATCATATCATAAATGTACGATGAATTATAATTTTTTTCATCATTATATAACACCTCTAGTTCTACTTTTAATTTGTCCATATCATGAAAAATATTATGATATGTTTTTTTAAGATTATCTAATGCACATGTTGGAAATTTACCAGAATAATCTTTAAATTTTGAAACGTCAGCTAATTGTAAGTATATCAACCTATTAGTATCATTAAATCTTATATTTAACTGCATTAAAATACCGTCAATAATTTCATAAAACAAAATTCTAAAACTAGATTCAGTATTTAAATTGTTTCTTGAAGCTTTAGGTTATTTAGTTAAATTAACTGCTTCATTATATAAAATTCCAAATTCTGTTTCATTTCTTATGTTTTTTATAAGGTTACGTGCAATGTTTATTTTTCTTAAGCAATATTTAATATCAACCGATTTATTTTGCAGTATATTAAATAAGTTTTCCGTAATTAAAAATATATCATGAAATATGTGTGCTAAAAATTAAAATTCAAAAGATTTCAAGTTTTTTAAGTGTCCAACTGATCCACAAATAGATTCACTTGATGATTTAGGATATTTTATTATAGCTTCAAAAACTACTCTTAAGTTAATCCATTCTTTAACTAATAAATTTAAAATTTTTGAACGAGAGGTCTACCTTGTCTGAAATAATTGTGGAATGCGTTTCCCTATAATACTGTCAATTACGTTAGAACGGTATGTTGAGTCATGGAAAAATGCCGATATACCAGTCATATTAGCGAAAAATATGCGACATTTTTCGTTATTATTACAATTATGTTGCAATATTAAATTTAATTTATGTGCTAAATAATGGGTGAATAATGCATTGGGTGCAAGTTCTTTAATTCGGGCTTGTAAACTAGTCGAATTCCCTGCCATCCCACTAGCATCATCGTAGCACTAGCCAATCAATTTTTTTTCAATACTAAATTCTTGTAAAAGAGAAGCAATTAAATTAAATAATCCATCAGCCATATGATCTTGACTGACATCATAAAAACTAAAAAAACGTTCAACTCGGACTTCTTAGTAATGTATCTAAAAATTATAGAACATTGTGTTTTCTGCGTTATGTCTGTAGTATCGCCGATTTGAATAGAATAAAACGTACATTGTTTAATTTCGTGTTTAATATGATCAGTTAAATATTCAATTATACATGAAATCATATCATTTTGTTTAATTTTTAATGTACCTAAAAACTAATTAACCTAACCTACGCCGCTTCCAGGACTGCGGCCACCACCGATACAAAGACGACTAAATTTAGAAAATACGCATGCGCAGCTATTATTGTTTTGCTAGTGTGTGTGTCGTGTAATTGTATACACATTAAAGCCTGGTTTACACGCAAGGACTTATTGTACGTTTTGCTGGACATATAAAATGAACAATAAGACGTACATTTTATAAAGTGTCTACACGTTCCAACTTTTACTCAGTTTTCCATCCCAGTTTCAACTGTATTTCTGTTCATTTTTTAATAGTGTTCAGTTATTTTAGTGGTGTTTGATGATATGGAAGAAACACTATTGTGGTTTACCATAATGTTCCTAGTACGTATGCAACAGATTTTCGTAGATCAGACATGTTCGCAAGAAAACAAAAAACACCATGCGAATCAAATTTTATATTTTTAATTAAATATTATAGGTTAATATACTTAGGTACTAATAGTAGGTTCTACTATAATATATTATAATTATTAAAAACAAAAAAACGAAATTAAGTTGTTAAAACTATTAAGTAAAGGAGAAAATTAAACCTAAAAAGGACGAAAAGTTGTATTATACACCAATTTTATATTTACATGTGACGACATGTCGTTCAACTTCGCGTAAAATGAATCCGCGCCCATTAGTTTTTTGATCCAATCTTGGATTTCATTCCGATTCGATAAGACGTACGAATTACTGAATACACGCTCCGTTTACTCGATACGATTAGTTGTGTTCAATAAAACATACAATAAGTCGTTGCGTGTAAACCGGCCTTAACATTTAACATTGCGAGAGACGAATATACTATATCGCCTCTTCGTTTATCAGCTGTCATACACTTACTGTCTAATAACTTTTAACGTACTTGCGTAAATAGTATTTTGTGGAAGGTATAATAGAATAGGTAGGTATATAAAAATAAAACGTATACGATGTGGTGAAGTTACCGTAAGTGTTATTTAAAATTCTAATATTTAATTTACTTTAATAGTCGTGTTAATAATTAAATTGTTTAGTATTAAATCAAAATTATTAAGTAAAAATATGAACCACACTTTTTCTCTTATTTTCAAAGGAGCCACCGCCACTGACGGCGTACGTATTACGTACAATGTATACACCATATAATGCGCCCGAACAAATGATTATTCTGCGAAGAAAGAATTACATTTTTTTCCCCTGATATAATATTTTAGTATACGAGTTAACAAAGCTTGTAAAAATATGAAAAATATTTTTACTTTAATAATTTTTAAAATATAAAAACTATTAAACGTTACTTACCGTTTTGTACTTTCGATTGTCCCGTCGTTTTTTAATCTTGCATTTCTGAAAAGGTTTTATTAGGGAAAGAATTTCTTTTGTTTTTGATTATTCCGCGTACGATATTTAACTACCTAAAAGAATTTAAATTTAATGGATATTTCGATCGATACTGTATGAATAATAATATTCTATATATAACTATACGAATAATTAAGCTTACTATAAAAATGCCATTAAAATATATCAATTGATTCTAAGAACTCTCTTATTATTGTTATTAATACTATTATTATATATTTTTTACTGAAATAATTTTTAATAGCCAATAGTTAATCGTTGGTTTAAATAAAACGAAATACCTCGTTTTATACACACATACACCGGGTAATTTCTTCAGTATGTTTTTTTTTTACTTGAATTACGATTTTTTGCAAATTTTTATTTTAAGAATAATTATAAAATCCTAAATTTTTCGTATATTTTAACATCTTATCATGTGTCGTGTAATCACCTTTTGACTTTTATTTTCAAATGGACTACCATTTTTTTTACATTTTTTACTCAAATAATTATTTAGTACATTTTTCTGGAATTTTTTATATAAATTTTTCAATATTCGAATCAGAACTATAATTTTTGGAGTTGTTTAAATTTAACCATTAAAAACTGCTAGATATGATTTCCTTTATTTATACTACATTCTAGAATTTTTATCGTAGTTGTTGTATTTTTAATCATCAACAATTTTGTAGACCATATATTTTTTATATAATTTATTGTGTGGCCCGGGGAATAAGAGTATACGCAAAAATCGACCAATTATCGGTATTTATCGATATAATTTTATTCATGCTTGTACGACTATACACAATGGTACACGTCAAGTTACACATTACATACGTTATATTCGTACGAAGTAGAAAATAATTAGGATATCGATATGTTGGGTGCGCATAGGGAATGAGAATATGAAAAACTAACTAATTACCGTTATTTATTGATATTAATTGTATCTATAATTACACATATATTGTCTATATAGCACACCAAGTTACGCATAATGATATTTTATTTGCGTACTCCTGAACGTAATACGACACAGAAAAAATTTCAGTATTTCAATATTTTTACACTTTTTATATGTAATTTTAAATTTTAATACCAACAAAAGAAAAAATCTATCTATTCACTATGTAGATTCGACAATTCCAGAATGAAAATTAGTTTTATAATTATTTACAAGAAAAATGATTACGTTATTTTTTTGGAAAACAAAAAATAATATAGGTACCATGTCACAATACCTTTAACAGAAACTCTATGTAATAAAAAATATCTTTTACGTCTTTTAGTACATTTGACATAACTTGCATGTACTTAAAACAAACTTGTACAACAATCAATACTGTAATTTGGTAAGAATAATAAAAACGATAACAAAAAAATCTTAAAACGAATTGTAGTAGTAACTCTATAGAATTGGATTTTAAGCCAATAGTGAAAGCATAGTGTACGTACGAGAGTAAAAAGAATAAAAAATATTGTCTATCAGTGTAACACATCGACGGGAGTATAAATTAATCAAACATGACGTGGACAGAGGAAATAAGTGACCCTGAATCTGACACAGCGCAGAGCACTAGAAATCGTGTCCCAGCCCGGCGGTAGAAAGGATATCATTTCTCAGCTGCGCCGCTGAACCTTAAAATTAAATTATATGTTTGTTGTGTAAAAAAAAAACGGTTCGTCGTATAAGGGGTACGGTTGCACTTGGTCGTATATTTTGCGACGAGACGTTTTCGGCAATCGGATGTTAATCACGGTTTTCCGTTGCAGGAGGAGCAAAACATCAGAAACAACGGTGGCGGCAACAAGCGCAAAATGCCGCCCCACCCGATACGGATCGCCAAGACCATAGACGTGATCGCTCGCATCACATTTCCCACGGCGTACGCGGTGTTTCTGATATTCTTCTTCATCCATTACACCAGTCATCCAAGCCACTGGACCCAGTAGTCACGAGAAGCTCAACGTTTACACACATGTTATAGCAATACGATTAATATAATAATAATTACAACATGATAAAACCAATATTAATCGCGGAACGACGGCCGTCGGACAATACGATGATTTATGTGTTATATTTAATATCTGTTTCTGATGAACGCGTACAACTGTTAGCAAAACGCGTTTCGAACTCGTTTGCGAGACGGACGATATTACGTCCCAGACATGATCGTGGAGCTTATCGCGGTCTACGCGGAAAAAAACGAATCTCGTTCTGCGATTTTTTTTTTTTTTTTTGTAATTCGGAAACAATTCGTCGAGTACACAACATAAAATAAATCCCTTATAGAAGTTAAAATAAAAAATTAATAAAAAAAACTGTTCGCGTTACAGTTAGGTGAAGTACGCGCGCAATATAACATATTAATGTAGGTTTCGAGGGATGTGATTCACATTTCTCTGACTGTAAATTAATACATCAACGTGTCATATATATTCATATATGCATAGTTATATATTATATGCTATTTTATTAGTTCTGTTAGCAGTATTTGTTTAAATTTTATTTTATTTTTATTATAATATATTATTGTTATTATTATTCTTATTATTATTATTATTTATTGACAATAAGTAACTTTTTTAGAATTTTTAATTACATACGCGCCTGCATTATGTGTTATACGTTTTAGTGTTTTTATTCGAAATCATTGTTGTCTCTTTTACATTATATTACATACATCTATACCTGATCGTATAGACATTGTTTTGTTTATGGTATGGTGTACACTAGTCAAGTCTGTTTTTATTAAATGGTCCCGATGGAAAAAAGAAAATATTTTCTATACGACTTACCTACTCTATGAGTTGTAATGTTCATCCTAGTATGTATTTAGTAGACGTGGAACGATTTACTTTGGTTTTATGAACTTTAAAAATCGTATAATTGAAAACGAGATATAATGTAATCGAAACGTTTAGTTGTATCGTTATTATTATTTTTATTATGTTAGTATAAAAATAGTCATATAGCCGCGGACTTTAAGATAATATTGTATATGTGAAATATATAATTCATAATATTTAATACAATATGTGTTTAGGCTCTTTTTGAAATATTTTGTTATTATAACATATTATTCTATTTATATTCGTTACTATTAATATTAGGTAATCTATAATATAGACTTGAATAGACATGACGGTGAAAACCCGTCACAATCTCTATTGATTATTTTTTCATTTATAATATCGATATAGGCTCAATGATAAATATTACTAGGTATTACAATTTTATAAATGATTCCGTCATTTTTATAAAATGATTTTATTGACCATGCGCTATTTTGATCTGTATTAATATTTCAGACAATCAGAATCATGTAAATATGTACGTTTCGATTATAAAAAATATCCGATGCCGTTGGCGTGCAGAAAAAAAAATTGCTGATGTTAGTATTACCTTACCAGAAGTTTTATTTACGGTTTTCGAAACGTTAAAAAACCATCTTTTTTGTCATGTTAATGGTATGACCATTGGACCGTTTACCTTCCGATGTTTAAATTTCGTATACCTACAGGGTCTAGCGTATAATTTCTCCGTACGATTAATTCCGAGTTATATTGATAATCTCTACTTCGCAACAAATGAAGTCGGAACACAATATTGTTAAAATATATACAATTAATTTGTAAACGAGCATCTACCACTGTGACTAGCACACGATAGATTCACTAATTCTCGATCTCAACGAACATCGTTATTATTTCATCCCTACCCTTCTCCTCTTTGATTTATAATTTAGTGTCAAACCATTCGTCGGTTGAGTAAATTTCAAGCGCAATTGAAAAATATCATAATGATTTGCCCGTTTTGCCGTCTGATCGACATTCGAAATCCGATTAATTTGTAAATATTTAAGCTGATAATCTAATCGTTCACGTGGATCAAAAATCGATCGTTTCTCTGAACGGAATTCAAACACTAACATTGTTATGTGAATTAATTCTCACGTCGAAAGACGTGATTTTAAATCATATTTGGGTCTTATACTATATCCGTGAGCCATGTGCATTTCGACTTTCAAGCAGAAGAGTTCGGGTGAACAAAACAGTTGTCGATATGATACGTTTTAAACAATAATAGTTAAAACGAGCTCTATTCCCCCGGAATTCGGTCTTGTGCGCTGGCACGAGTGCTCGTTTGTATAACGTACAATGAGTTTTTCGTTTGACACGATAATTGTTTTCTTTTCATCACTCCGCGACTCCCATTGTGTTGACGATCAATGTACACATATACCGCAATAACGTTTTCGTTATTTCTTTATTCCGTGACCGAAGTTGCGAGTCGAGGTATGTTTTCGATTTGCGAAACGTAGTGGCGATGAGGTGTGGAGTGATACTGCGACCGCAGACATGTTAGACAACTAAAGAAAAATGAAATATCTGACACCGAAAGGTCAACAGAACGGAAATATTTGCATAGGTCCCGTGCCGTGAATCGTCTAAATTCTTTAACAGCCGTGACACACGTTACATAAAATACTCTTCGGGTTTACCGAAAATCACGTATTTTTTTAACAACATTTCTCGTATCCGGTCATTTCGTTGCGAATCGCGTTTGTTCCGTAAAATAGTTCCATGGCTCGTTGTAGTATTGTTAAATGTTCTAAACCGATACTTGTAATTAAATTCCAGTAAAATATTTCGAATTTTAAACCCAATAAATCTGCCCGTCGCTCAAATACCACGCAGGCATTATATACGATACGTTGTAATCCACTGATTTGCAACAATCGATACTGGAAGGCATATATTTTAATACTTCGATAAAAAATTAAAAAAAAAAAAAACCACCGTATTCGCCGGAATAGAATAACTACTTAATATTAATTTAGTTTTTTTTTTTTTTTTTTTGAAATGCGTCAAACTCGTTTGGTGTTCGAAACAGATTTTTTTTATTTCAAAACTTAATATGGTTTATCAGTCGAATCGTACAAAAGATTTATCGACCTACCCCGGGAGTATCAACGGAGTACAATTTTTATTGCCCCACTGAGAAAGGTTCGCTTGGAAACGTTTCAAGGCGACAGTGGGCGCGTCGCGTCACGCGACGAGAACATAATATTATGTGTCATAGTTTTGGAATGTCTATATTTTAAATTTAATGATTTTCTCTTCCCCCTTCCCCCCTCAAACGATTTCCTGTGGTCATTTATTTTAGTCAGATGATATACTCGTATTATGAATAATCTGTTAGCCATGGCTTTTATCTTCTAAACGAGCACGATGGGCTAGTCGTACGTTTTCTTCTGAAATTATTATTATTTTGAATACACCAAATTAGTAGGCAAGTTTTATTGATTCTACGTATTTTTTGTGTATTAATTATTTATTGAGTGTATGTTTAACGTAATTAACAAGCGTACTGATATTGTGCATACATTAGGCGAGTTCACTGTAGTTTGTGCGGAATTCTGATGTTCTAGTTTAGAATAAATGGATATGTTATCGTTGTACAATAATGGAATACCAATAATGTTCCGACTCTCATTAGATTCTGTTGAACAATTATACATTGGTAGGCAAGGCCGTAGTTAATGACGGAGCGTTAGAGGAGCATGTGCCCCGGACGCGAAAACGAAAGCGAATTTTAATTAGGAGTGATTTGTGTTAAGAATTGCAAAAACCGATATTCATATTATTTTACTGTGTATGATACCGTTTAGTTTCGTTGACTGGATGAATAACAGGATATAACAATGTACAGAACCTACGTCCGCAATACAATGTTACACTTTATTCATGTTACTAGGACGTTTCGCTGAGACAGTTACATCCCTACGTGTAATACCCACAATAGGTAAAATGTATTACAGTACAACATACTATAGTTTTTCAACAACTCACGAAACTCGTTAAAAATGTTTACCAGTTGTCTGTAACGTGTTCATCGTAATGTTATAATGAACGTCAGAATACATAATTTTGTTTCAAACATTTTCCACCCTTTCCCCTTCTCATTGAGAAAATGATGTATGTATGCATATGTAATATTAAACGTATGATGGATGTACGTTATTGATTCCAACGTTCGAATAATTATTATTTTTTTAATCTTTATACGACAAATAATTTTATAACACTGAACAGAACGTGCCTACAGGTGATTAGATCGATAAAATTGAATAAGATGTACGAAAATCTATTCGTTTCTCGTGTTTACCTATGTATTTGCAACACGTTTTATTAATAAGCTGTTGATAATTATTATTCATAGGATGTGAAAAAACGTGTTTGTGTTAGAAAACAAACGTTTGATCGGATAAAAATTGAAAATTCGTCTACATTGATATTTTGACGGAAAACGAATTTCCATATTTGTATTCAAATGAATGTAAATAAAAATATAGTTTCAATCAAATACCGAACTACATTATAGTTACGGAAACTTCGGTGCGATTTATACGCGCTATTTAGTTTTGTTTAAAGGTATTCATGTTAAGTATGATTCGTTTTCAATTTTATATAGTTTGATGTAATACAATAAATGATTTTTAACTTTTTATTACGGTACGTCGTCATCGTAGCGAATTCGATGCATTATTATTTACAATACCGCGTGATCGGTGTACCAATGACATAATACAATTTATAGCGTAGGTCGTAATACGGAATTATATATTATTATACTTATAAGGAATCTTAACACCACTAGTCGTAAAAATTGTATTTATTTAAAATTTTTAACTAATACCATTATAAAAATGATATATTTCTACCATTTAATAAATTATATTCTAATGTTTTACGTCGACAATTCAATAGGATGATAGATAGGTATCTATACCGTGGCGTTTAATAATAATACTACACGTTGCGGCTTGTTACGCTTCCTTACAACAAATCAAAATTTAAAATTTAAATTATAATCATAAATATTAAAAAAAAATTAAAAAAAAAACCATTCAAAGCGTAATAATATATTTTTAAGTGCCTTTGTGTAGTAGCTACAGTGTTTTATTTTTTTTTGCAAATAATTATGGTTCTATATCAATTGAAATCGAATATTGTTTGTTAAAATTCTAATGGTATCAATGGGTAAAATTTGTAATTCGAAGATTGTTATAAAAGTACATATTAACACATACAACGTTATATGGAAAAACACGGAATTATATTGTGTGCGTATATTATTATTATTCTAATTATTATTATTATTATTATTATTATTATTATTATTATTTAATTGGGTATTTTTAAGCAGTCAAGCATATCAATTTACGCTGTGTTATTATTTTTAAATTTGTGTAATTCGTATTATTATTATTATTATTATTATACTGTTATGTGCCCGTCATAGTCAGCATTTTAGCTTTTTAATATTATATTAAACATTTTATTGGTTCGTTTTAGTTATTAGCGTTCACTATATCATAAGTAAAAGGTATTTGATTATTGTAATTTTTGTTGACCATCTTTGAATGGTTTAAATTTCTTTATTAATTTTTTTGCATTGTTCTATTTTCTTATACAATTA